TGATTCGTGCTTGTAATCCTAGCTATGAGGAGGCTGAGATCTGAGGATTGTGGTTGGAAGTTAGCCTGGGCATAAAAGTGAGGCTTTTTTTTTTTTTTTGGTCAGTCGTGGGGCTTGAACTCTGGGCTTGAGTGCTGTCCCTTCGTTCTTAGCTCAAGGCGAGCGTTTTACTGCTTGAGCCACAGAACCACTACTGGTTTTTAGTGGTTTATTGGAGATAAGAGTCTCACGGACTTTTCTGCCTGGGCTGGCTTTGAACCATGATCCTCAGATCTCAGCCTCCTCAGTAGCTAGGATGACAGGCATGAGCCACCGGCATCCAGCAAGTCTGTGAGACTCTTATCTCTAAGTAATCACCAAAAAACCCCACAACAACAAACAAATCTGGAAGTAGAGCTGAGGCTCAAGTGGTAGAGTACCAGCCTTGAGCAAAAAAAAGCTAAAGGACAGCATCTAGGCTCTGAGTTCAAGCCCCAGACCAGTAAACACACACACACACACACACACACACACACACACACACACACACGTAGCTTTCTGAAACTGATTTAATTCCTGAGAGAAATCAACTTAAGGAAGGAAAGGGTTTTTTTGGTTTATGGTTTCAAAGGTTTCAGGCTATAGTCACTTTCTCTTTTGTTTCTGGACTATATTGAGATAGAACATTATAGCAGAAGCATGTGGTAACGAAGGTTACTTATCTTCAACAATCTGACCACAGTAACCTACTTCCTCCAACTAGGCCAGCCTCCAAAAGTCGCCCCTCAAAGCTTATTAATTTATCAATGGTTAATTCAGGGATGAGGTTAGAACCCTCATCATCCAAATACCTCTTCAAAGCCCCACCTCTAAGCACTGCAGCACTGGGGGCTCAACAACAACAAAAACACAAACTCATTTTATTGCATTGCTAGAGACTGGAAATTCAAGACCAAAGTTGCTGCCAGTTTCAGGAGCCTGAGGGAGAAGAATCATGACTCTGCAGCCAGTCCGGGCAACAAGAGAGAACTGGTCTCAGAAAAGAAAGAAAGAAAGGAAGGAAGGAAGGAAAGCAAGCAAGCAAG